TGGATCACAAAACAGATGGAAATCATGTTTTTATCACATTCTTGCGTCGCTTGTTGAAAGACTTTACAGATCGGAGCAATACTTGTAAAGACTCCTTTTATTTTTGGCTGGTGTTTGATCCATTGCTTATGTTGAGTTTAGTTTCCACAAAAACTATAAACTGTGCTGACCTGAGGCATGCCAGGTACGATAGGAATTGCTGTTTGTTCCAAGGTACCAGAAACCAGTGTCCGACTCGGGTCTAGTCAGATCTCGGGTCTAGTCAGACCTCGGGTCGGATCGGGTCACAAAAGGTTTACGAATTCCGAATATCACATAAGAAAAGCAGCAATTTCAGATGAGATAATCATTTCTTTATTTCAAATACCTATAGAATATGTATCGATTTATTGAGAGGATGGTCAATGTCTGAAAAAAACTCACTTTTATTGGTCAAAAACTATCCCACACCTCAGGTCGGGTCACAAAAAAAGTGATCCATGTCGGACACTGCCAGAAATGATCATAAACAATTTGTCTTGTTTGAAGTCATGGATAAAACTAATACATTCGTTGACATTCGTGATTGTATTGACCTCGTTTACTACTTTCAATTTTGAGACCGTATGCTTGTGATCTTTGTTCTCTGGATCGACACTGCCATCGAGTTGGACAAGCAAAAATTTCTGAATCATACGAGCATAAGGAGCCCATCGTGACCTTATGTTCAAATATTCAGATGGCATGGCAGCAGCACCAGTTGTTATTGTTGTTGTTGTCGACTTTTTCTTTTTGTCCATGGTGTACGTGGTGTTTTATCAATGAAAAAAAAAGTAAAGTAAGATGACTTGAATTTATATAGCATGTTGAAATATCTTTCTAAATGTTTCTAGTTGTTTTTGATTGCTGGTGTCGTTTGAGTTTTTTTTTTCTTTTCGTTTCGCTTAGATGCTTTGATTCTTTTTTTATTTGTTGTTGATTATAGTGTCACAAGATAACGAACGAGTTTAAAAACGATTACAACATAATTTCATACACTGTTTCACATTTCATTTTCTTTTTTATGAGGTCTCGAAGAAGTTTTCTCTCTCTTTCGCCTTATGTTGCCGTAAATGATATTGTAAATAGAAATAGCAAAGTGTGCATTGTTGTTTGGAAATACATGACGCACGCTTATTTCAGTAGATGCTTTCTGTTCCATTAAGAATTCAATACCATATGAAGTCAATGGAAGCATAGGTAGAAGATTACTATTATTGTTAAGATTTCTTTGTTTTTAAATGGAAAATCAATCAATTCTAGTAAAGGATACAAAAAGTATTTTTTACATCCATGTTCTCACACTATTCTCAAGGAAGATTTGTTTTAACAACGAGATACTACGCATATGATTTTTTAATATGGTTTCATTATGTTGTTGTAATTTATATCCGGTTTCAAAGTTAATTCATTTTGTATATTCACTTCAGGACCTAAACTGGACTCATCGTTTATGAGATTATAAAACTTTCGAATTGAGGATACAGATGTTGGCAGCAACATTCGATCTATTCATTGTTGCTGCTAAAACTCGTTTTCATTATCTTGAAAAAACACTGAGTTTTCACTTTAAAATTGTCATTTTGCTGAGTGAATTGAAAAGGAACGAAATTTCATATCGACATTTTGGAAAAAAATTGATCATATAAGAATATAAAACTTTATAACAATATTTGAATGAAAACCGTATGACTTGCCAATCCCTAGATCATCGTGACACAAAATAGTGATTCGAGTTATGTGTCGACAAAGTAAAAAAAAAAAACTCGATACATTCTCTTCTAAATCAATAATTCTTTTCTTTTCTACTTGTGAAATTTATTCTAAGAAGAAAAAAGAAAGAAAGAAACGGCAACAACCGGTTGTAAAAGACATTGCAAAGGTAACAAAACAACAGCGAGACAAAAGAAAAACTGGAAGCTTTTTGTTCTTAATATAATAATCTTAATTTAATTGACTTTACGTTTATATCCTCCATATTGTGATGATGATGATGATGATGATAGAAATGTATTTGTTAATGGTTTATAACGTAAAAGAATATTGATTATCATCGACCAATTGGCTGCTATCATATAGATAATACCAAGATAAGCAGCAATAAATAAAGCTAAAACAAGATCAAATATAGCTGGTTTAATACGATAAACATATAATTGTCGTCCTTGATCATCATCTCCATCAAAAAAAATAAATTCGGGATCTTTTTTATTAGGACGTATTGTTGTTTTAACAACATTTGTTAAATATCGATGAGCATATTGTTCGAGTGCAACAACAACTGGATGAGTTTTAGTTAATAATGATGGTGATCGTGAATAATTTGTTAAAAATGTTAACCATTGTTTTGTAAATGTTATTTGATCATAATCAGATTGTTGATTCGATAATAAATAAGCTTGATCAATAATCGATAAATTTATATCTGTTTTATTAAATATTAAACGTATTAATGCATCACTTATATATTGATAATTACGTTCAATTGATGTTAATTCAACATCATTACGTATATCACTTATAGATGAATGTGAACATGATTTTGATGAATTTAAATGTGATAAAGTAAATCCAGGTAATTTTGACCAAGAATATTTTTCATGTTCCCATGCAACAAAATCACTTGTTTTTAAAATTTTTTTATGAATTTGTTCGAAATTTAATGGGCCATAAGTCGATTTTTCACTTAATTGTATTAGAAGTTCGCGTAAAATACCAGCCTAAAAATTCAAAGAATACAAAATAGAGCTTCGTATAGGATTGGATAATCTCATAGGATGCAAAATGTTTGAGAACTGGCCTATTCTATTCCGATGACCAGAGAGATCATCGCAGGACAATTCGTTGCAACATTTCATGATGCTAGATATTTCTATATCTGAAGTCGACTTCATAAAATATGATGCAAGGATGTGGGCGCAGGATGGCGACGCGGGGATTCAGGCGGAGGATGTGGACAGGTTTGCGTATGTACCTGTAGATGTAGGATGTGTATAGAACAGACAGTTATAACCAATCTAACTCACAGGAGATTCCTTCACTGTCCTCAAATTACGCCCACAGTTGCGTCTAAATTCACAATAACACTCGTACTCCAAACCCTAAACCATGTACCTGTCTCCTAAACTCGAAACCCGCACCTACAACCTAAAACCCATTCTTACATCATACTTTAAGAAGTCGACTCCAGATATAGAAATATCTAGGATAATGAAATATTGCAACGAATTGTCCTGGGACGATCTGTCCTAGTACTTCTATTCCATGTAGAGCCTTACTGCAAAATAAGAGGGATCATATTACTAATTAAATTATTTTATTAACTATTTAGTCTATTATTAGATGTTTTGAGACGATATAAAATACACTTTGTCAATTTCAAAAATTTCTTCATAAAATAATTCCAATAGATAGGGACTTGCAAAGCAATAATTAGAACAATGAACAAAATTTTTGAGCATATTTCCTAATACATCATATCCATGGAAACTTTCAAGAGAGTTTATGTATGTTCTTAAAACTATGCAATTATTTTCTCGAAACTAAAACACATGTCTTCAAATAAGAGAATTCTTTATAAAGAAAATTTGAAATCGAAAAACTCTATTGCTATTTAATATATATACTAAAATCATTTTAGAAAAATATCTTAGTAAAACATACTGGTTGTGTTTCTCTTGGTGGTTTTGAAACATGCATAAAAAGTTGATTTGATTGACCCAATGAATCTAGAATAAAAATTTTATTTCATTATAAATTCTTTTTTTTTTAGTAAAAAGAATCTCACCAAGACAAACAACAACATCAATATCATTTGGAAGTTGTTGTTGATGTTTTTGATCATGATAATCATCAATCCATTTTTTACTTCCTTGATAATTTAATTTTCCACCAGCAGCAAATAAAAAATGTAAATTATATTTTGCTCGTGTTGTTTGTTTAGCATATAATTTTGAAAATAAACGAATTAATTTTAATAAAATTAACATACCACTTGCATTAGAATCAGCACCTTGTATTAAACCATTTGCTAAACCAAGTGCATCATAATGAGCAACAAGAAGAATTTTTGGTAAACGTTCTTCAATACCATGACCAATTAATTTTCCACCTATATTATATAAAACACTATCTGTTCTTTGACCATATTTTCCAGTATTAACTGATAATTGATAACCATCAGCTGTAATCATATCATATAAAACAGCTAATGCTGAGTCTTTAGTTGAATCACGTCGTGATTCAATTGATTTATATAAATCATTCATTTGCTGTGTTTCTGGAAGAAAATAGATAGGTATTGGAACACTTTCACTAAGTAAAATTGTTTCTAAATCGCATATATCTGATTTTTGTTCATCAGTCCATGGTGTATTTGTTGATGGTATAACAATAAATAAACTATTAATACCTTTAGATATCAGTGAACGAAAACGTTCAATTGTTAATTTTTCTAAACGTATTAATGCAGCTTTTCGATTAAGATTTGTATGTGACCATAAACGAACTTCACTGGAAACAAATGCTTGTCGACTACCAAATGCTTGACCATATAAATCATATTGAATCATACGATATGCTTTAAATTCTTGAGTTGAATCAACAAATGCAAATGGACTTAAATATGTTGGTGAAAAAATACATATGATTGGTAACCAATAAAATAAAAAACCAGTTAATGTTGTTGTACGAAAGAGAAATGTATCGAAAAGATCGTTTATTTCAAACATTATCTTTTCGATTATTTTATTTCTTTTTTTTTATAAGATCTACCTTTAGTTTATCTAAAACTAAATGAACCATATATATATGTATATATATATATGAAAAGTAAGACATGAATTTGAAAGTAAGCAAATATACGCACATGAAAAGGCTTTCTCACTCTCTAGATACATCTTACTTGTTTTATAAACCAAAAATAAATCCCAACTCCACTTGATCATAATAATTCGTTCTTTTTATAATAAAATCAAACAATTTTATTCATCATCATCATCATCATCATCATCATCGAAATTCTCTTCTTCATCCTCTCCAAATACATCTTCATGAATATTTAGTTTATTTTTATTTAATACAAATGTATGTTTAAGTTCATCTAACATTGATATTGTATTTATTGTTGAAGATACTTTTTCAAATGATTGATTATCAATAAATTGTTTGTTTTCTTCTTGAATTTCATCATCATCATCATCATTATCATTATCATCATTATTATTATTATTATTATCATCTAAATATCCTAATAAACGTTGTTCACGGTCATTCCATTCTTGTTTTTTTCCTTGTATAGCTATTTGAAGTTCTTTCATAAGACAATTTGTTTGTTCACGTAAAATTTTTTTATCACAATCATCCATATCTAAAATATTCTCATTCATTTCATCATCATTAGTATTATTTAATTTTCCTGTATCATATATAAGAATTTCATCAATAGATTCTTTTATTTGATCATCAAAACGATGATAACTTGTTATATGAGATGAATTATTATCATTCGATATCATTTCTTCAATATTTGTTTGATTTATTAATTCTATTGGTTTTATTTGTATACCTTCAAGTAAATAAATAACAGTTTTAAGATCTTGAATAATTCGTTTTAATTGTTCATTATTTAAATAATTATTTTCATTCATATCAAATAATTGTTCACAATTTGAACGAAGTAAAAAATACGATGATATTAATTTTTTTGATGATGAAATTTTTTCATTATCAATATAATCAGTCATTATTGAACAATTTTGTTTAATTTTATTTAAATTTTCAATAGATTTTAATAAGAATTTCTTATAATTATAAAATATCCAATAGGATTTTGGACGATTTAAATGTATTAATTGAATACATTCATTTATTTGTAAATGACATAATTTAAATAATGAATTAATTGATGTTTGATCATATTGATTTGTTATTTTATCAAAATCATAATTATC